ATGTCAATCAACAGATGAATGGATTACCAAAATGTAGTCCATCCACACGATGCAATGTTATTCCAGCCTTAAAGAAAGAAGGAAATTCTTGCACGTGCTATAAGATGCATGAACCTTGAGGACATTATGCTGAGTGAAATGAGCCAGTCACAACAGGACAGATTCTGTGTGATTCCACTTCTATGAGGTCCTAGAGGAGTCAAATCCATAGAGACAGAAAGTAGGATGGAGGTTGTTGGGGGGTAGGGGAGTGGGGAACGGGGAGTTGTTGTTTAATAGGTAAAGAGTTTCAGATTTGCAAGACGAAAAGAGTTATGGGGACAGATGGTACTGATGGCTGCAAAACAACGTGAATGTATTTAATACCACTGCACTGTACATGTAAAATGGTTAAGGTGGCAAAAAACAAGCAAACAAAACACCTCAGAGCTTGCTGTTCTTAGCAAAATTCAGCCAATTACAAGGACTGCTGCAAGACTTTTGTTAATTTCCTGAGTACGAAAAAGTTTATTCTGACCACTTTTGCCTGTTTTCTCATTGCTTTGATGAAGGAGAGCATTTCAGAGCTCCTGGCTCTGCCATTTTTCCTGAGGTCCTGACCCCTTAATTTGGACGAAGACACCATGGCAAGTGCTGCTGAGCACAGACAGGCCTGTGTTTGTGTGAGGTGGACTGTCTCACGGAGAGGAAAGTCTATATTTATCGCCAGATGGAAGCAGATCCCCTCCCAGATCTGCGGCTCAGCCGCTGAGGCCTGGCTTCCTCAGGGAGGTGGGCTGGAGGCGTCCTGCAATGCCTGGGGAGAGCCCTGGCTTCTCGGGCCCTCCTGGGAGCCAGGCATGGTTGCAGGGGTGCTGCTTACAGGGCGTGGGCCTCCGGGCAGGGCCCCCACTCGGCATTAGCTCCATGAGCAAGAAGAGCAGGGGGTGGGCGATGTGGGGGTGGGCTTGGCCCGCTTGGCACCTCCCCCTTCTAGTGCCTTCCTGGAGGGCAGAGGCCACAAAGCTAAATCCAGACCCAGGATTCCCTGAGCTGATCCAGGCTCCACCAATCAGAAGTGCTCCAGGAAGCCTGAGTCCAGAGTGGAGGGAGGCAGGCGGGAGGGAGGAGGCGCTGCTGCGGCCACAGGTTCCTGGGCAGCTCGGGCCAGCAGCAGCTTGGCAGCCCCTCCTGTGTCCTGCATGTGGCTTTAGAGGTCCTTCTTGGAAGCTAGGCCAAAGCCTTTCTCCACCCTCCTGACAACTCTGTAAGCTGCAGTGCACTCTGCGGTAGACCCCTGTCTGCGTACACGAGTCAGACATCTTTCTCTGTGGGAGCCCTGACTGCAAACAGGGCCACGTGTGGCAGGGCGTGAGCAGGCGTGACAGGGTGTGACAGGGTGTGAGCAGGCATGGCAGGGCATGAGCAGGAGCTCCTCTAGACCAGGGGGTCAGGAGGTGCTCTCTCTGAGACCTGTACGGCTGGAAGAAGCCAGCATGGGAAGAGTTCTTCGTGGGAAGGTAGAGGGAGCTACAAAGGTCCTGGGGTGGACAGCTGGGAGTGTCCCTGCACAGGGAAGAGGAGCTGGGATGCGAGGTGAGGGCGTCCCCGTGGACTGTTGGGCCCATTGCTAGGAACGCTCGGCCCTCAAGGACTCAGCAGCCGTTGGAAAGCCTTGTGTGCAGTCTGCGGTGTCTGGCAGGAACAGGCCCTCAGTAAATGTCTGACGAGTGGACAAGGGGCAAACAAGCATGCGCCTGTGTGACTGCAGGTCTCCCCGGGGAGCAGACACCAGCGCCCGGTCTGTGTGCTCCCAGGGAGCCAGCCTGTCCCCGGGAGTTCCCAGCCAGAGTCAGTCCTGGTGGGCCTGTGCCACCCTAGGGAGGGCCTGAAAGAGCCCTTATTGTGCCAGGCCCCGAGGGCCCCTCCACCAGACCCATGTGGAAAAGTGACCTAGGCCTTCCTCTGTCCTGCTGGAAGCCCAGCACCCCTTGGGAACATCCAGGGTCTTGGGGCCCCGTGGCAGGGCCACAGCCCGGGGAACGGTATGACAGATGACAGAGACTTACCTGTGTGCCAGCTGTCCTCGGCAACTGACAAATGCGGACACCACTGCTGAGGGCCACTATGAGCAGCAGCCCCTCAGTCAGGAAGGGACTTCACAGCTGCCCAAAGTCCACTGTTAGCAATGCTTTTGGGTTAAAGACACTGTAAAAAATTGCAAACACCCTGGGAGGTGGGGCCCATCAATGACTCATCCCATGCTCTGTACTAATTTGAGTTACAGCAAGCATTGAATTCAGGTCGGGGGTCAGGCAATGATGGCATGCCCACTGGATCCATTAGGTCAGTGGGGTGGGGTTGGGGAGCACACAGGGAGACTGGAGGTGCAGACACAGAGCTTTGGGGGATGTAAAAAGGGAGCTGGCAGGTGCAGATAGGGAGGCTGGGGGTGCAGACAGGGAGGCTGGGGGTACAGACAGGGAGGCTGGGAGGATGCAGACAGCGAAGCTGGGGGTGCAGACAAGGAGGCTGGGGGTGCAGAGAGGGATCCTGGGGGTGCAGACAGGGAGGCTGGGGGTGTAGACAGGGTGCCTGGGGGTGTAGACAGGGAGGCTGGGGGTGCAGACAGGGAGGTTGGGGGTGCAGACAGGGAAGCTGGCGTTGCAGAGGCCTGGCCTGCAGCCACAGCCCTGAGTCTCATTCCCCCGAAGCCGCCTCAGGGGTGATTGACCACAGTGACTTACAGGAAGGGACCCTGGCATTTTGTCAACCAACTAACCAAGCATTGTTGATGAGAATTCTGTGGACGAAACTATCTTTCCTTCCCCAGCCCCTCCCCACAGCCTCAGGGCGCAGGGTTTCTGTCTAAGCTCACAGGGAGGTACTTGACATGTAATGGATTAATTTACTGGGGGTGGGGATGGATGCCCACTTGCACACAGAGGAACCCTTCTGTTTGTAGGAGTCACTTTCAAAAGTGCTTCCCAAAGCTGCCTCACTTGATCCTCAGCAGGAGGCAGGATGTAGCACCCTGGTTGGCAGAGGGGGAGCTTGAGGGTCAGAGTGGTTTGCTGTGAGTCCAGGATTCACAGAGTCATTTAACTCCCTACTTGCTGAGCTCCACCTGAGGCCCACCCCTGGCCAAGGGGCCAAAGGTTACCTGTCCTTGGGTGTCCCTCTGTGCCTATCTCTGAACTGGGCAAAGAATGAGGCCCCTTCCCACGTCCCATTGTGTCCCAAGAACCCCCTCAGGCATGCTTCTGGGGGCCATTCCACCATCAAAGGAAGTGCCTCCCTGACCACCCTCAGGGAGCCCCAGGCAAGCCAGTCTCTGCACTGCCCAGAGGGCTCCGGGCCTTGGTGACCACTGACTGCACCTCCCAGATGGAGCCCCGAGTCGCAGAGCCTTTCCGGGTGGTCATGGGGGGCTGGGAGAGGAGCCTCCTGATGCGCTGGGCTGTCTGCGCCCTGGGCCTCCTGTAAACCGGGCTGAGCCGAGGGGCCACCCCTGGCCGCCGGACAGTGGCGAGAAGTGGATTGTGCCCGAGCGACCCTCAGGAGAGCTGCCTAGCCCCCCTTCCCGCCCAGCGGGAGAGACGTCCCAGCCCTCCTGCTTCCTCTCCTCAAACCCAGATCAGCCCCTTCTCCAAGAACAGACACAGGAGCAGGAGGACATCACCAGCCCTGTCTGCTCACATCCCCTCAGGGGTGTGCGGGGTGCTCCCAAGGCTCCGTGGTGTGTGCACACAGACCTGACAAGACCGCTGGAGAGGCCTGCTCTCTCCAACTGCGTCTGTGCAAGGTGGGCCTGCACAGCACACCCGTCAGACCGCCACAGCAGCATTGTGGATGTGAGGGCCGCCGTGTCCAGTGGGCCAGATGGCAAGATCCGCGCAAGTGCCGAACGGGGCCACCTTCTCCAGGGAGGGCTCCTCGCTGAAATATACAGCTGTTCTTCATAGAACGTTATGCCATTCATGTTAACTTGCAACAGGTTCATTTTTGTTGTTTTAGTGAGTTAATAAATGTTCTGAACATTTACTACGATTTTAGATACGGTCAGTATCGATAGACTTAACCCCCACAAACAGAAGCTCTCTGGGGTCCTCAGTGGTTTCCAAGCGGGGAAGGGGTCCTGAGACCAAACAGTTTGGGAACCACGGAGTGAGAACTTGTCCTCAGCTGAGGACGGCGTCTCAGTGCGGTATTCACGGGGCTTCCCTGTGGTTATTTGTTTGGAGTACAGGTTAGATCATTTGTTTTTGTTTGCATTCTATTCTTGTTGATTCTATTTATTTTCTCTCTTTTTTTGAATTTGTGAAACATTGACGTGGTTCCAAAAATCAGAATGCTTTCTGTTTAAGCTTAAAAACTCCCTGAGTGGTTCTGACAAGCAAAACCGTCCCCACTGTCTTTCGTCTCTCCCAGTTCCCAGATCCCGTGACTAGGATTCTAGAAATATTTTCTTGACTGTGAGCAGGGATAAACTTCAGAATCTGTTGGCCACGTCCTTCTGTGTGCAAAGTGTCCTTGGAGCTCAACCCAATGGAGGGAAGTGGGGTGGGGCCCCAGCCGCCCCCGGGCCCTGGGTGAGCCTCGCAGCCTTTCAGGAGGGCACAGGGTCCAGGCGAGGGCAGCCACCCTTTCTGTGCCTCATCCCTGAGCATCCACTGCGTGGTCTGACTCCCTCTGGAGAGACTGGAGAGCATCTGGGTCCCCGGGCCCCAGCGCTGACAGCATGGCTGCTCTGTGCAGCCCTGTGATGGGGAGGAGGCAGCTGTGGTCACTGACACCTGGAGCCCCAAGGCCAGGGATGCCGGGGTTGGGGGCCTCTGCTTCCCCAGCCTGGCCCCAACCCTTGGTCTAACGTCAGGCTCTTCAGGTCCCGCCCTGCCCTGAGGGTGCGACACGCTGGCCCCCTGAGCCGAGCAGGCTCTCCTCCCAGCCGCTGGCTTTGGCACCACCTCCAGGGAGACACTAGGAAGGGCCTGATGGGAAAGGAGAGAACCGGGAGGGAGGGGAGGGGCGGGAGGGAGGGGAGGGAAGACAAAGAGAGGGCGCGGCGGTGGCGGGCGCCCGGGAGGAGCTGACCTCAGCCTGGGGAGGCTTCTCCAGCTTCGGGCAGGCAGGCGGGGCAGCGCCCGGGGCTGAAGAAGTCCCTTTCTCTCCCTCTCCCTGTCCTGTCTGCCGCTCTCTGGTGGCCGCGGTGGGGGACCTGGGGCCTCATTGGCCGGCCAGGCGCCGTCCTCGGCATAAATTGGAGCTCTGGGCTCTCGCTAGGACCGTCTGCTGCCCACAGCCCGGCTGCCCGCCCTCCCGCTGCTCCTGCTGGGTGAGTACCCACTCGCCTCTGCCCCTGAGGCCTCCTGGCGCTTTCCCCGGCCCAGAAACCGGCAGCACCCCAACAGAGAGGCCCGAGTTTGCTGTCTAGGCCCGGGCACCGTGAGTCCGACAAGTTGACCCCCGAGGTTCCCAGGAGTCCCTGGGCCAGCAGCGTGAGAGGTGTGTAACCTGGGATGCCGCCTGGTGTCGCTGGCCCAGGCTGCAAGCTCCTCCTGCCGGGCTCTAACCTGCCAGGCTCGCTGGGCTCCTGCCGACGCATTGTGGAATCCAGCTGTAACCCCACACGGCTTCGCTCTCCAGGATAGGGTCCAGCCGCCGGGGAGGGCAGCATGAGGGACGTGCAAGGGCTGCCCTGATGTCCCTGCCCAGGGCAGGCATGCCGCAAGGTGTCGGGGGACGGCGAGGCCAGAGTGTGGCGCTCTCCCTTCTCTCAGGTGATGGAAACCCTGAGCCTGGCTGCCGCCCGGGGCAAGGCCCTCTGGGCTCTCCTCCTGGCCACGCTTGGCTCTGCTGCCGGCCAGCCGCTGGGGGGAGACTCTGGCTGCATGGCCCGGCCCCTGGCCAAGTACAGCGTCACCTTCACCGGCAAGTGGAGCCAGACAGCCTTCCCCAAGCAGTACCCTCTGTTCCGGCCGCCCGCACAGTGGTCGTCCCTGCTAGGTAAGTGCAGCTCTGTCCCCGTCCGTCCTCAGCGTGTCCGCACCGCCCCATCCCCCGAGAGCGGACAGTCACCCCCAGCTGCACCACACGGCACAGTTTGGAGGGCACTCTCGTCCAGTTCACTTCAGCGCAAGAAGTATTTGTTAAGTGCCTCCTGCGTGCCGGCCAGACTCTGGGGATGTGCTGGGCAGGGTGGCTGGAGTCATGGGGAGGGCTGGCTGGATGCCCACCAGCAAGGTGCCCGGGCAGCAGGAGGCCGCAGGATGTCACCGTCCACACGTGCTGGCTGGATGTGGCTCCCAGTCTTGCTCAGGCAGGGAGGGCCGGCGTCCGCTGGGCGTGGCGGCTCACACGGTGGCGCCCACAGGGGCAGCGCACAGCTCCGACTACAGCATGTGGAGGAAGGACCAGTATGTCAGCAACGGGCTGAGGGACTTTGTGGAGCGGGGCGAGGCGTGGGCCCTGATGAAGGAGATCGAGGCGGCCGGAGAGAAGCTGCAGAGCGTGCACGAAGTGTTCTCAGCCCCTGCTGTGCCCAGTGGCACTGGGCAAACCTCCACGGAGCTCGAGGCCCATTCCAGGCACTCGCTCGTGAGTGGAGTGGCAGCGGGGGTGGTGGGGTGCGGGACCTGGCCACCACCTCGCTGAGTGCCCGGCCCCCCAGGTGTCCTTCGTGGTGCGCATTGTCCCCAGCCCTGACTGGTTTGTGGGCATCGACAGTCTGGACCTGTGTGACGGGGACCACTGGAGGGAGCAGGTCGCCGTGGACCTTTACCCCTACGACGCCGGAACAGACAGCGGCTTCACTTTCTCCTCCCCCAACTTCGCGACGATCCCGCAGGACACAGTGACTGAGGTGAGGGGACAACGGCCCCGTGCCCGCACTGGCTCTGGGCCCCTCGGGGATGCATGTGATGACACTACCCACCTGGGGTGCCTGGCTCCGTCTCCTGTTTGGAAGACGCCCCTGTTCGTCATATCCACTGAGCAAGGGGTGCAGTCCCTGCCTAGGAGGGAGCTGGCTGCATTGTGGGAGGAAAGCAGAGAGGCCCCACATTACTGGTCTGGCTCCCAGGCCGTGGGCCCCGTGCCCCATGGGCCACTGGGAGCTCAGGAGCCCGCACCAGAGGTTGGGAGGCTATCTGGGTGGTGTTGCCCATAGGAGGGCCCGGGTTGGATCTGTTTTCCACACTGCCTGCCGGACCCCTAGTACCGGCTCCCGCGCCTGGGCCATGACGGACGCTTGCACGCTCGCGCAGGTGGGCTTATGGGTTTTCTGGCCATGCCAACTTCCTCATCCTCCCCCGCAGATAACATCCTCGTCTCCCAGCCACCCAGCAAATTCCTTCTACTACCCGCGCCTGAAGGCCCTGCCCCCCATCGCCAGAGTGACCCTGGTGCGGCTCCGGCAGAACCCCAGGGCTTTTGTCCCGCCCGCCCCAGACCTGGTGGACAGGGGCAACGAGATCATGGACAGCCTCTCAGGTAAGCCCAGTCCCACCCCCACTGCAGGCCCACCTCCGGTTCCCCACTCTCAACATGCGTGCTCCTGGTGCCAAGCTCTCAAGCTCTCAGGCTGGCTGAGTCCTGGGCAGGACCCCCACCAGGGGTTTGTGTGTCACACGGGGACTCATCCAGACTTCACCTGCCACCATGCAGCTGTCGACACAAAGCTCCTGCTCCAGGCTCTTATCTCTCACCTTAGAATGATCCTTAAAAGCGAATGTCCACCACAGAAATGGAAGAAACAGTAGAAACAGAAAAGGATGCTCAAAGGCCAGAAACCGCCCAGAGGGGCCGTCTGCGAAGTGTCAGTGATGACACCCGGACCTTGCCACCTTCCCGGAGGCCACACCTGTCGCCCACGTGCAACCCACTAGGGGAGGTGGTCCAGGAACCATGCCCCGTGGCGTCCCCCCACCCCACACAGTGCACCCTGGGCTGCCCCACCTTGCAGACGACGTCTCAGAGCCAAGAAATGTGCCCAATTCTAAGCCAGGCACCTGGGTGGGCTGTGCCAGCCTCCAGGCTGGGCCAGGCCACCCGCAGCCCCGGGGGCGCACGGGGGTGTGAGGAAAGGAGTCAAGGCAGGGCGAGGCTGCGGGTGCTCAGAGGGCCCCAGGGCACGGTGCTCTTCAGGTCGTGTGAATCTGCGTCTCTGAGCAACTTCAGACAAGGGTGCAGAGCCCTCAGTGCAGGACGATGTGGGTCTGAGATGTTAGATTCCGGTGATTCAAAGTGCACACGGGAGGTTTAACGCTTGCACATTTGCCACTGACAGCCTTTCACACCCCTGCAGCCCGGAAGTGAGTCGTGAAAGAGGCCCATCCGTCAGGGGGTGCCAGCGTGTGGCTGCGTCGTGGCTGACGGGAAGGACACTTCACTAAGTGGACCGCTCCGCGTCATTCCCGCAGAGGGGATGGTGGGGGGTGTTGGCAGAGGTGGCGCTGCCCACAGAGGGAGAACTGTGCTGGGTGCGGGGCAAGCCCGGGGGCCGCGCTCCCACAATGGTCCACCTCAAGCGTCCGTGATTGGAATAGCGTAGCCCGCGGCGAGACCCTCCTCCACCGTGCCCCACTCAGAGCCAGCTTCACAGGAGCATTCTCCACCCTCCCCTGGGGACGTGGACCCAGCACAGGCGGGATCCCCCAGGGACCTCATGCCACCGCGATGCTAGAGCCCCAGACACTGGAGACGGGCGACAGCACCGGCCCTTGGGTAGAAGCATGAACTCGGGTCGTTTTGGTGGTTCCAGGAGGTGCGCATGGTGGCTTCCTCGGGTATGCACTCCAAATAGTGCTGATAAAAGCAGGTGTTTCCACCCCACTCTGAGCTCTGGAGACGGTCTCCTCCGAGGGACACCTAGGGTCCCCTTCCGCCAGGGAGCGCCTCCTTGCGCACGTGCCGATGGTCTCTCTTGTGCTTGTCCAGTTCCAGAAACGCCGCTGGACTGCGAGGTCTCTCTGTGGTCGTCCTGGGGCCTGTGCGGAGGTCCGTGCGGGAAGCTGGGGGCCAAGAGCAGGACTCGCTACATCCGCGTGCAGCCCGCCAACCACGGGACGCCCTGCCCGGAGCTGGAAGAGGAGGCGGAGTGCGTGCCTGACAACTGCGTCTGAGCGCAGGGCCCGTAGACCGCAGGCGGCGAGTCTGGTCCTTCAGGGCCAGGGTTGCTGCCAGCAGCCGAGTGGGGCTTCGTCACCTCTCTGAGCGCCACTGCTGATGACACCCCTACACAGACACGCAACCGGCCGAGGGGTCCTGGTGGGCAGGCGCCCCTTTTTGCAAGCTCTTCCCTCTTATTCCCACCACGCGGAAGGTCATCTTCCGTGCAGACGACTTGCACAAGGCGCCCTGCCGGGTGGGCTGCAGGAAAGCCACGCAGCCACACAGCTGGGAAATACCTGGGCCTGGCCACCCAGGCTCCGCTGGCACCGGAGCCCACACCCACAGCCACTGCTGGAGCCAGGCTGCCACCCAGCACCGCTTCCGGTGTCCGAGCGGGTGACGCACGTGAGATGGATAAGGGGGCACACGCAGACACCTCGCCTTGGCGTCCACATGTTACCCGTCTCTGCACTTGAATAAAGACTGTTTCCCGACCTCGTTGGCCCGTCTCTCCTTTCCTGGAGGGCCCTGGGGGAGGGCAGAGGGAGCAGACACGGGGTCATCCTCCTGCCCCTGGCTGGGTCTCCCTCCGAGCAGAGGGGTGGCTCCCCAGACTCCACAGAAGAGCACTTGGCAAGCGTCAGAATAGTGTAAGGAGGTGCTCGATCCAGCGCACACCCAGTGCTTGTGGCAGGGAGTGCCGAGGAGCAGCACAGGCAACACGCGGCTGCCGTGGGCCCCGTCCCCTCAGGCCACTGACCACTAGGGCCCCAAACTCACAGAGGTGCCCTGAGGGTTCTCAGTGTATCTGCCCTGGCCCTTGTCTGAGGTTGGGGGTTCAAGACCTTGTCCTCCCAGCACAGACCCTTCCTGCCAGATGATCCAGTGGGTTCCTGGTCTCTCATGGGACGGCCAGGAGATGGGGTAGGCCAGCTCATCACTCCTGGAGACGCTTGCAGACCCTTCTCCCTCCTGCTTGTACTTGTGTAGAATAGATCCTACAGCCAGCCCACCACCCAGCGCCCGGTCCACTGTCCTCACCTCCCACCAACCAGCGCCCTGTCCACTGCCCTCCTCACTTCCCACCTCCCAGCACCCTGTCAACTGTCCTCCTCACCTCCCACCTCCCACCACCCAGTGCCTTGTCCACTGCCCTCCTCACCTCCCACCTCCCAATGCCCGTCCATTGCCCTCCTCACCTCCCACCTCCCAATGCCCATCCACTGCCCTCCTCACCTCCCACCTCCCAATGCCCATCCACTGTCCTCCTCACCTCCCACCTCCCAGCACCCTGTCAACTGTCCTCCTCACCTCCCACCTCCCACCTCCCAGCGCCCTGTCCATGCTCCTCCTCACCTCCCACCACCCAGTGCCCTGTCAACTGCCCTCCTCACCTCCCACCTCCCAGTGCCCTGTCCACTGCCCTCCTCAGTCTTCTCCTGCCAATTCTTCACATGTTCACCTCCACATGGAGACCCTCTTGCCCCTGCCTCTCCGTTTCCTCAGGTTCACATCTCCCACCTCTCCATCCTCACTCTAAACAGCAGTCTTGGCTCCCCACACGCTCGGCCCTCCCACAGGCCACCACAGATGAACTGTACATCCCCCTGTTACAAGCAGCTTGAGCAGCACGCCCCCGCCACCATCCTCAGTGGCCTCCAACAGCTCTCCCTCTGTGTCCCCGCTCAATGGCTCACACCAGCAAGCGTGCTCTCTTGTCTTAGAAGGCATTCCTCCCGCTGTCTTCCCTCTCCAGCCCCTGCTCCTGGGCCCATCTTGCAGCAACGTGTCTGGAAGGCATTTCCCCTCCCCACAGTCAGCCCCTCCACCCCGGCTCCCCTCTGCTGCTGTCGAGGGCCCAGTGTCCACGCATCGCTGCACCCAGGGTTCTGTGCTCCTCACTCGTCTTCTTCGCCCCTCGGGAACAGGTGGTGCCCCCAACACACTGAGTCCCTCTGGCCCCCAGGCTTCTGCCCTGTCCCCTGACTGGCTGGGCGAGGCCCTTTCTCTGTCTCCTTTGACAGGCCGCTGTCCCTGACACACTTCTCTGCAAGCTCAGCCTCAGACTCCCTCCATCCTCTAGTGACACATACCTCCTTGGACCCATTTCCCTCTCCAGAACAGATTTATATCCCCAGTGGTCCCCTGGACCCTTGACCTTGGGGAGGAAGGAGTGAAAGCAGCTGCCTGGGGCCCATTTATCCCCCGGGGTTGGGGGGTGAAGCCTAGCTAATTCCTGGACACGTGCTGCTGCTGGGCGTCCTGCTAAACAGACTGGCAGCGTTAGCTCAGAGGAGGGGGCTTGTCTGAGGAATGGTCTTAGCAGATGTTCTCTGTGGATTTATGGGCAGGTAATCTTGGGGCACAATGCAGAGATACTCACGTTCCAGTGCTCCCCAGTGAGGGTAGCAGCCTGCATACCTCATTGAGAGCCCAGGAAGGACCTGGACCCTGCAGGGCGGCCCAGCCCTCTCGGGGCTCCACCTGTGCCCTCGCGTGCTTGGCTCCCTGTGTCTTAGTGAAGCACCACACTGGGTCAGACTTCTCGGGAGTCTTACGAGCAGAGACTTTAGTCCGTCTGCTCACAGACGTAATCTGCCACCATAGGCTTGGGAGCATAGCTTTGGGATGAAGGGCATGCACGTGGTGACAGCCAAGGCACACAGCAGAGATGGCAAATACTCGCCGAATGAATGAGGAACTCGGTTCCCTTCCTCTATTTTGCAGGAGTCCTCATATTGAGCACCTAAAAATACCAGATAAAGCGTCCAGCGTTGATGAACTGGTGAAGGTAGGGAATTCCTCTGAGGGGCAACAACAAGCAGCCACGGGGTCAGCAACGCACTCAGGAGCCAGGCTTCACCCTGGCAGCCCTGCTGGCCATTCACACCTTCACCTGGGATGTCTGAGGCCTCCCCCAGGGCAGGAGTGAGCCAATAGCTGGCCCTCCAAGGGCACAGCCTCTCTTGCACTTGGCTCTGCATAGAGAAGAAAACAATTATCCCTGACACCCCTGATCACAGGCCCATGCTCACCAAGCATGAGGTCTGACATGACAGTGGAGATCTGAAAAAGCCCTAATTAAAAGTTTTGCTTAAAGATTCCCGGGCTGGTAATGCCCTGAGGCACCTAGAAGAAACGAGTATCAGTCCTCCCTAGGGACCTCACTGTTGACTGGGACTCAGAGAATTCCCACAGTAACATGGACTCACAATCAACACCCAGGAGACACATGAGAAAACCAGCATGACATCCCTAAATCGAAGGACGTGGCAAACTACAAAATCAGACCCACAAAGCCAACGACATTAGGACTATCAAGTACAGGATATGATTAAACGTGCTGACTGTGTTATCCAAACCTGAGGTCAAAACTCAAAAGTGCGCCATAGAAGCAAGCACACAACAAGGTTTTAGATTTAAACTTTAACAGATGGACTAAATACTCCAGTCAAATGACAAAGATTGTGGACTGGATTCACAAAACCATGTGCTATTCATAGGACACGTAAAATCCTCTAAGAATGCTAAAACACTGGGGGAGGATATGTGGTGGAGACTGCTGCAACAGGCATGTCCACTGCCCTCTCCTTCTGATGCATGGGGTTGGGCATGGCCCTCGGGGTGGGAATGAGTGTCATTCTTTGGAGCCAGAATATTTACTGCCCCCGTGAGATGCTCCAGACCCTGGAGCTCAAGTCAACATGGAGGTGCCTTCGCAGAAGCCAGCCGGGACAACACACTTAGGACAGCCACCCTGGAGAGTGCTCAGGATCTGCAGCCAACTTAGAAACAAGCTTTGCTGTGTTAAGAACTAAGACTTAAGGGAAGGGGATGATGAACGTACACCCAGTAAAAAGGAATCCTGTATTAGGTGATGCTCAGGCTCTGTAGAAGAGGGAATTGGACACTGCTGCTGGTTGTAGTGCTGGTGGTGTAGGTGGTGACAGTGATGCCGGTGGTATGAGTTCTGGTGCTGGTGCTGGAAGTGGTGCTGGTGGTGCTGGGGCTGGGGCTAGTGGTGCTGGTGGCAGTGGTGGTGGTGATATAGGTATTGGTGGTGCTGGTGCTGGTAGTGCTAGTGTTTGTGGTGGTGCTGGTGGTGCTGGTCCTGGTGTTGGTGGTGGTGGTACTGGTGGTACTGATAGTGGGGCTAGTGGTGGTGGTGCTTGTGGTGGGGCTGAGGGTGGTGGTGCTTGTCCTGGTGGTATTGATGGTGCTATAGGTGCTGGTGGTGCTGGTGCTGGTGGTGCTGGTGGTAGTGTTGGGGCTGTGGCTGGTGGTGCTGGTGCTGGTTGTGGTGCTAGTGGTAGTGCTGGGGTGGGTGCTGGGGCTGGGGCTTGGGCTGGTCCTGGGGTTGTTGGTGCTGGTGCTGTTGTTGGTGGTAGTGGTAGTGTTGGATCTGTGGCTGATGGTACAGGTGCTGGTGGTACTGATGGTGGTATGGGTGCTGGGGCTGGGGCTGGTAGTGCTGGTGGTTATAGGTGCTGGTGTTGATCCTAGTGGTGCAGGTGGTGCTGGTGGAGGTGATGGTGCTGGGGCTGGTGGTGGTGGTGAGGCTGGAAGTGCTGGTGGTCATAGTGTTGCTGGTGGTATAGGTGCTGGTGGTAGTGTTGGGGTTGTAGCTGGTGGTGCTAGCACTGGTGCTGGCTGGGGATGCTGGCAGTGGGGCTAGTGTTGGTAGAAGTGCTTGTGGTACTAGTGTTGTTGGTAGTGGTGCTGAGGGTGGTGTGGTTGCTGGGGCTTGGACTGGTGGTACTGGTGCTGGTGCTGGTGTTGGTGGGGCTGGGGCTGGGGTTAGTGGTGCTGGTGCTGATGATGCTGATGGTGTTGATGGTGGTATAAGTGCTAGTGGTGCTGGTGGTAGTGGTGGTGCTGGTGGTGGTGCTGGTGGTGCTGGTGGTGCTGATGGTAGGGCTGGAGGTGGGGCTGGTGATGGTGGTACTGGTAGTGCTGATGCTAGTGTTGGGGCTGTGGCTCATAGTGCTTGTTGGTGGTGGTGCTAGTGGTGGTGGTGCTGGGGTTGGTGATGGTGCTGGTGGTGGTGGTGCCAAAGGTGGTATAGGTGCTGGTGCTGGTGGTAGTAGTGCTAGTGCTGGTGTTATGGCTGCTGGTGGTGCTGGTGGTGGTGGTGGTGCTGGTCCTGGTGCTCATGGTGGTGGTAGTATAGGGGCTGGTGCTGGTGGTGTCGGTAGTGTTAGTGCTAGTGTTAAGGCTGTGGCTGGTAGTGCTGGTGCTGGTCATGGGCTGGGGCTGGTCCTGGTGCTGGTGGTGCTGGTGCTGGTGGGGGTAGGGCTGGTGCTGCTGCTGTGGTTGCTGCTGGTGGTGCTGGTGGTTCTGGTGCTGGTGATGATGATTCTGGTGCTGGTGGTGCTGGTGACTCTTTCAGGAGGGCAGCTGTGGACTCCCTCACTGACAAGGCCATGTCTGAGCAGGGCTCTGAAGGAGGAGGGGGAAGTCTCACAGAGATCTAGTCGTGAGTGTCCCAGGCAGAA